ATAGGGAGACATCAATTATAAAAAAAAAAATAATAGGCCTATATAGCCTGCAAATTGTCTGTGAGCTGATTTCCAGTTACAAGGACAAAAAGAAAAACAGATTATGCAGGAGGGAGATGCAGGGAACAGGGATTGGGTGTTCTGCAAAGAGAGTTGGAGGTAAATAATTTTGCAGTAACTGTTATGCTGATGTTGTGGCTGGGCAAGCAAATGTTTGTGCTTGTTTCTGTATGATATAATTGTTCATATATCTATTAAAATACTGATATTCTGGTCTATAACTCCTCCCCGAACTTCCCTCTGCCCTGTATCTTGGTCTCTCATTAGCTGTAGGTCATCGCCGAACTAGTTTTCAGTCAGAAATCATTGCACACAGCGTGATTGTGAATCGCCGACAGCTCCAGATATTTAGCATGTCAAATATTTTGCGGGCGTCTGCGAGTGTCCGCGATTCCCTCAGATCGCATCTTTGATAATTCACACTGCATGATTGTCACTCGCGTGAACGAGCACCGATTTGCCTCCGATTTCGGGCATTTGTTGCAGTAACTGTTATGCTGATGTTGTGGCTGGGCAAGCAAATGTTTGTGCTTGTTTCTGTATGATATAATTGTTCATATATCTATTAAAATACTGATATTCTGGTCTATAACTCCTCCCCGAACTTCCCTCTGCCCTGTATCTTGGTCTCTCATTAGCTGTAGGTCATCGCCGAACTAGTTTTCAGTCAGAAATCATTGCACACAGCGTGATTGTGAATCGCCGACAGCTCCAGATATTTAGCATGTCAAATATTTTGCGGGCGTCTGCGAGTGTCCGCGATTCCCTCAGATCGCATCTTTGATAATTCACACTGCATGATTGTCACTCGCGTGAACGAGCACCGATTTGCCTCCGATTTCAGGCATTTGTAGGCGATTTCCCAAAACCTGTCGGCAAGTGAAAAATTGGGCTAAAATCGTGCAGTGTGAACTCGGCATAAAATGTGCAGTGTTGGGGGTTCTCCAGGACCAGGATTGGGAACCACTGTTATAGTACATAGATCGATTAATGCAGGGGTGCCCAAACCCGGTCCTGGAGGGCTGGTGTCCTGCAGAGTTTTGCTCCTACCCCAATCAGACACACCTGACAAGCTCCTACTAGACATGCTAGAAATTTCGCGGCAGGTGTAATGAGGCAAGTTGGATCTAAACTCTGCAGGACACTGGCCCTCCAGGACTGAGTTTGGGCACCCCTGGATTAATGGCACCCGTCATTACGTCACCACGCGTAATCTGACATCCCCTCCAGAATTTCACGTATAAACATATAGTTGGTGTTCGTTATGATGCCATATAGCGTTTTGGGTGTTTTATTTTTAATTTACTGAAAGCTTCAAATGCAGTTAATTATACATGCTGTGCAAACAGACGACGGCGTTGTTGAAGCCATGCTCTTTTGTTTGCCGTCAAATGGTTGACCACTGCTGTGTGTGTATCCTGTCACAAAATGTGGCGAAAAGTCCTACACAACGTGTGATTAAGGTGTTTACATGTCTATACTGCACTTCGATAATGCGACTAAAATAGGAACACTCAATTCAATTCAAGTTTATTTGTATTGTGCTTTTCACGATACAAATCGTTGCAAAGCAACTTTACAGCAAATTAAGTTTCTACAATATTTAGTGGTAGCTCATCAGTGGTGACTGTCAGTTAATGTACATATGGCAGAAATGTACGGAAAAATAAATTAAAGACAATCAAACAGACGATGAACACTATTAACAGCGATCAGATATAACTGCAGTACAAATTTGAATGCTTAGCCAAAGAGATGTGTCTTCAATCTAGATTTAAACAGAGAGAGTGTGATGCAGCCTTGGTCTGACGCAAGAAGCAAGTCATTTGTAATTTTAACAAGTGCAGTTTCTGTGCTATAGTGCGGCCTGAAGCCTGACTGAAAGTCTTCATAGAGATCTTTTTTTTTTTTGCAGGAAGGAGCACAGTTGAGCAGACACAACTTTTTCTAAAATTTTAGACATAAAAGGAAGATTTGAGATGGGCCTGTAATTTGCCAGTTCACTAGGATCTAGTTGTGGTTTCTTAATAAGAGGCTTAATAACCGCCAGCTTGAATGGTTTGGGACGTCACCTAAAGCATGTTGCTAGTCACTTCGTCTAGTTCATGTGTATTTATAGGTACAGAAAGCAGTTGAGATAAATCAGGCAGGTTATTTGTGAATCTGTCTTTGGTGGCTGGAACAATAGTTCTGCCCAGACGATAACGCGGAGCGATATAGTTATTATCAGTAATACGCAGTATGCACGATACAAGGAAATGGTCAGTAACATCATCACTTTGAGGTACGATATCTATATCAGTAAGATCAATTCCATGCGATATAATTAAATCTAGCATATGATTAAAATGATTAGTGGGCCCGGTGACGTTTTGCTTGACTCCAAAAGAGTTTATTAGATCAGTAAACTCAAGTCCTAATGCATCATTTGTATTATCAATGTGAATGTTAAAATCTCCGACAATTAGCGCTTTATCAACAGTAACCAATAGGTCTGAGAGGAGATCTGCAAATTCTTTTAGGAAATCTGTATATGGCCCTGGTGGTTTATACACAGTAGCCAGAGCAAGAGATACGATAGATTTCTTTTGCATATCTGACAGTGTAACATTAAGGAGAAGTATTTCGAATGAGGTAAACCTGTATCCTGTCTTCTGAGTAACATTGAGAATATCACTATATATTGTTGCAACACCGCCGCCACGACCAGTCTGACGGGGCTCATGCTTATAACAGTAGCTTGGTGGAGTAGACTCCACATGTCTTAATTCGATTTGTGTTTACTTCGAGTATAACTTTAGCCGGATTAAGGTAATCAAATATCTCTGTTTTCATGGTAAATTCTTAATCAGAGTATTGTCTTAATCATGTTAAAATCGGAATATTGTTGTCCATGTAAACATACTCATTGTTTACAAGCCGTTATATTGACTGAAACACTGATTGAGCGATTATATGAGACAGGATATGGATTGTAAAGTTGTACTTTTTCTTTTAACTTACCTTCGGATGTTTAGTCATGTTTATTTTGTGCTGTGGTATTAAAGGGTTAGTTCACCCAATAATTCTGTCATTAATTACTCACCCTCATGTCATTCCAAACCCGTGAGACCTTTGTTCATCTTCCGAACACAAATTAAGATATTTTTGATGCATCCCGTGAGCTCTCTGACATTCCCATAGACAGCAAGGGTCCTTACATGATCAAGGTCCAGAAATGTAGACAGGAAGTAAAGCAGAATTTGGATTCGGACGTGCCTTGATGCCTTCCTGTCTTGGAATGCTGCCTCCGAACGCAGTATTTTAGAGCTTTCGGACGCTGCCCTTGTCTCTGGAGGTACCTTCTCCTGATGAATTTTGAAGGCAGCATAGATTTATCCATAGCTGCCTTTGATATCCCACAATCCTGTGCGTTCCATTCCGTGATGGTTGAGCTAAAAAAATAAAGATGGCGTCTGAAAGTTGCTGTTCATTGGTCAGTTTGTGTGTAAATGTATATTTCTGACTGAGAAACCAGTATTATAGTAATTAAATATTCATTTAGTTATCACCAAAACAAGTTATATTTTGTTGTAGATCATTAAACCATTACGAAATCAGTTTTATGAGGTGCCTTCTTGCAAAAACGCTGCCTGCAAAGTCATTGCCTGATAAAGCAGCAAGTCAGCTGCCTAGGCTTTCCAACTCAGCCATTATTATTCTATTGTTTAAATTGACCGCGCACCCTCCCGTTACGTCACTTCCGGTGAGGCGCTTTTCAGGTGCAGAAGTAAAATTCTCAGGAAAACAATTTCAGAAGACTCAGTAGCGTATTTATATGTATATTTTAAAGAAAATCTAGTTCCTACATTAGTTCCATACACTATACATTGACTCACTGGGGGCTCTAACCAATATGCTCTTTAAAGCAGCTCGTGGCCAGATACTGCCTGCTACTTTTGATATTGACCCTCTCTTTGTTCAGGGACTTAACTGTTCGTCACATATCTGTGAAACCTGTTCAGATGTTGAGTCTTTTTGTGTTCATGCAAATATTGACGCATGTTGAGAAATATGATGGAAATAAATCAGTTGAAACTGAGAGGCCGTTTCTTTTTTGCTGAGTATATAATATATGTAGGGAAGTCGTGGCCTAATGGTTAGAGAGTCGGACTCGTAACCCAAAGGTTGCGAGTTCGAGTCTCAGGTCCGGCAGGGATTGTAGGTGGGGGGAGTGAATGTACAGCGCTCTCTCCCACCTTCAATACCACGACTGAGGTGCCCTTGAGCAAGGCACCGAACCCCCAACTGCTCCCCGGGCGCCGCAGCATAAATGGCTGCCCACTGCTCCGGGTGTGTGTTCACGGTGTGTGTGTGTTCACTGCTGTGTGTGTGCACTAAGGATGGGTTAAATGCAGAGCACTAATGGTGCCACATGTCACGTCACTTTATACAGCGATGATAACCCTGCTGGAAAAAACAGCAGGGAAAAGATCGTTTATTTACTCGGACATGTTTAATCAACCACGTTAACCGATTCAATACGAACAAATATGAGGGATGTTATGAAGGAGCCGATTCGCGGAAATAAGTCGTGTTGTGCGCCTCACCCATAATGCACAAATCTAAAGAAGAAGAAGAAAAACCAAAACCAAGGCAGGGGATTATAGTCCGGAATCATGACACTGGGACTTTTTGTCACCATAATTTGGTTAAATCGACTCATAATAAAAGAATATAGTCTTTTTGATTGTTTTTATTTTATTTATTTGTCTTGTTTTAATTTCTAGTTTGTTTATTTGTTTTGATTGTTTTTTATGGTTTATTTTGTCCTACAAGCAAAATCCTGATCCATACTTTATTCCAGTCGGTGGCGGTAATGCACCAGTCAGTTAGGTTGCCAACCGCCAATAAACACCAAAGAAGAAGAAGAAGAACCCATAATGCACTGCAGCACGCAGAGGGGGAAGAGCTTTCGCGGGAGAGCCAGCAGTCAGCTAGTTTATTCTGTTTCAGCAACTTTTGCAGTATTTCGATGTTTTAATGCAGAAGTAATCAACCGTGCATCTCGCAGGGGTTGTTTATCGACTGTCTTTTGAGAGGGATTGTTGAAAGAATACGTCAGGCGTTTTAAGGTGAGTGTTTGAACTGTTGAAAAGGTTGGCCCGCGTGTTGTTTATCATCTGCAGAGATTCGCTGCAAAATATGCATGCCCTGCAGCGTGGTTCACGTTTGTGCGCTCGGTCTGGCTACAGCTAACTTTGCATTCATATTTTAAAGCATTTTATGTTGGAGTATTTTGTTGTTGTTTTCATTTCCATCGAATAGCGAGCTAACGACAATAGAACGGCGTGTTCATAATATAAAACAGAATTAAGACAGCATTGAGCTTTGGGAGTATTGTTTGGTATGCTATGTATTAGCCTGTGACGATATTAGCCAAAGATGCATGTTTGTAGTCCTGGGACTTCATGCCTTGCGCAGCAGTTGCAAAAGTACAGAAGCGTTTGCTGCAGACAGTAGACTAAAGTCCATTGTAGAGGTTGATATGGTTTGAAATGGGTGTGTAGTATTTGAAAAATAACTCCAGTTTATCGCAATTAAATAAAATATTGCAACAATGGGGATGTTTTCATTCCGAATACTGTGGAAGATAATATAAATGTTTTTATTAGATTTTAACTTTTTGCTGCCGCAAATACGATTAATAGTTAATTGCAACATTTGTGTTCACTAAATTGTTTTCCTTCGAAACGACAGAATAATTATATAAGTTTTTAAAAAGATTTTTTTTCATGAAAAATAGTATATTGTTAGTTGTATATTATTTTCCGTGAATAAACAATGGCGTATGGCGCAAAATATTCCTTAGTTTAATTTTCTACCAAGTCTAGCCTGTGCTTCAAGGAAGTAATTCATTTCATATTTGAACTTGCAGAATTTCTCAACAATTGAAATGCACTTAATCCTGAAAAACCCAAATATAGAAAAAACTGTGAAAATTTATTTCACCTTTTTAACGTTGTTGTAGGAGGTCTCTAATGCAGAAATAAATGGGCTTTTACATTTTTTACATTTTAGTCGGTTTTAGGGAAATGTGATATTGCAGGGTTGGGCAGAATTTCAATGATTTTACTCACTGTATGAACAAATGTAGAGAACATCTGACGGTTCATTTGCAGGGTGTATTGCTTCTGTATCCTCATAACAATAGTCTATATATGTATACACTAATAATCACTGATGAAATAAGTCACATTTTATGTAAGAAAAAAACATTTATTATAAAAATGTTCGATTACATTTGCAAAACCTGATCAACTGAATGAAAGCTTTAAAACATTCATCATGACTTGACTTGAAAACTTTCTTCTCTTGTATCAGAGTCCATCTCAAAGTCTCTGTTCCCATTTTGGATGGTATCAGTGATCTCATGCGCATATGATGAGACAGTCTTTCTTGGCTGGTGACATTCTAAAATGGAAAAAAAAAGAACAATTAGTTTCCAGGCTAAAAATATTAGTGCAAATTAATCCCAATCATACACGTTTTAAAGAATTCACCCATTCACACATTCCACAGAATTCACACAATACTGTCTGATAGCTTATTGTGTCCTTTAGTTATCATGCTAATAGCACTGATACCCACACATTCCAGAACATTATCACTTGTCCCTCATGCATTAAGCAGATATTTGGGCAAAACCTAGAAAAAACAACAGGACATTTTATAAATAAGATACAGATAGTCTAAAATATTAATACACAAATACTTTAAAATTCTCAAAGAAATAATTTATTATTCAACGTGCACTTATTTAATAATCATAAAATCTTGATTGAATGTCAGAATGGTAAAAAAAAAAGACATTTAAAACTTGTGAATGATCAAAAACAGTATGTTTCTATTAGTATTTTTTCATATGGAACAAGTGAGAAGCACAATTCATCCATGTAATGTGAAAGGTGCACAGGCAAATTTTGCTAAACCTTTAACCCAATGTTGTAAAATTACAATACTGACATAAGCTCAAAATCTAAAATGATCAATGCATTCAACAATACCTTAATATCTACATGATCTAGACATCAGAATCAGAATTAGCTTTATTCGCCAGGTGTGTGCAAACACACGAGGAATTTGTTTTTTTTTTTTTTTAAGGTGCTCCTGGTACGTACATACATGCATACATACATACATGCATACATATCTGACATGAGAACAGAAAAAAAAACATTTAAATAGTAAAAACTTAACAATAAATAATGTGTATGAATCTGGAACAGTAGATTTATGTGCAGATTTGTGCATTATTTACTCTATATAGAACTGTATATATAAAGAGATATGCATATGTATTTACATAATACTTGAGAAAGAGGCAATAATTAAGGATGTAGAATGAATTACGAAAATGAATTACAGAACGCAGGTAATGATTCATATGTTAGCTGTTTAAGCTGGAGATGGCATGGGGGAAAAAACTGTTTTTATGCCTAGATGTTCTAGTGCACAGAGATCTGTAGCGTCTGCCTGAAGGGAGAAGTGCAAACAGGTTGTGTCCGGGGTGAGAGGGGTCTTTGATGATGTTGCCTGGCGAAGCTGTTTGAGTTTTGCACTGAACCAAGGTTTGTCGTTGTTAAATGTTAAATAAGTCCTGGTGGGAACACACATGTCCTCACAGAAACTGATGTAGGATGTCACGGTGTCAGTGAGCTCATCCAGATCAGTAGCTGCAGCCTCAAAAACACTCCAATCAGTAAGTTCGAAGCAGGCCTGTAAATCCTGCTCTGCTTCAGCAGTCCATCTCTTTACAGTTTTCACTACAGGCTTAGCAGATTTGAGTTTCTGCCTGTAGGCTGGTAGAAGATGAACCAAACAGTGATCAGAGAGTCCCAGACATATTGCTAATCACAGAAAAAAATATATTTTAGGCATTTTGCTTACTTGAATGTAGATTTATCCAGTCCAGTAAAACGAGATGTGCTTCATGGGAAGTTCGCAGGATGTGTGAGTTTATGGCCAGGTAAACAGGCCTATTTTTAAAATCTAGCATCCAGTAGCATTGCAAGACTAAACAATAGGACCTATTAGTTGTGTAAATGTGGCCTTAAAGAAAAAAACATGAGCAGCTTTATTTTAGTCAAGCTAAAACTGATGTTGTAATATTACAAAAGTGGGCCTTGCAGGGTTAAGCAAGTTTGGCTGTATAATACTGTGATAATACTGTACAGACCTGATAGAGAGCCCCAGACCATTCTTATTGTTGAACTCTGCTCTATGAACAAATGTCTTCATTTCTCACTTTCAGGAGTGAAGTCTGGCCCCTCACAGTCTACAGAGACAGTTTCACAGCTGGGCGCTATGTCTGTCACAGGTGTCCCTATGGCTAGTGAGGATTCAACAGAACAACTTCCAGGAGATGCAGCTGGTTCAGAAGTGAAGCCAGATGCAGTGGAGTCATGCCTGCTGGATGCCACTGAGGCTGGTGTAAATGAACCAAGCCGTCAAAACAGCCTTATGGAAAGCCAAAAGATGGAGCAGGAGGAAGTAGAGGAGATGGAGGAAGATCCGGATTTAAGACAACAGTCGGGTGTGGACCAAGAAAACGGACCAGAAAAGAGCAATGTAAGTGACCAGAATGAAGAAGAAAATTGTGCGCAGGAACACTCTGAGCAGAAGAATGCTGGAGAAGAAGAGAAGAATGAAGTGAGGAACATCGCAGAGGATGCAGCATGGTGTTCAGAAGAGCTTGTGATTGCTAAAGTCGAAGACCTTACCAATGAAACGGCAATAGATGTGGACCAGGCTGAGGATGGGAGGATGGAGGTAGATGGATCAGATGATGCAGGTTGGTGTGAACATTTTGCCTGTTACAAGATGTGTCCCGTTGAGATGACTTGCAAACACATTTAGGTAGTTACTGATATTGATTTATGATTCTGTGTATTGATAAGTGTTAATTTCTGAACATTATTTCACAGCCATGGAAAAGCATTCCATGAAATTCAAAATGTAGTTGAATTCCTAAATATGTGTTTTTAGAAAGTTTTAATATATTGAAAATTATGTTTTAAATGCTGCATAATGTTGCTTTATTAATATTTTTGTACATTTATTCATTTAACCAAATGGAACTGAGTAACACAATTGACTGGGGTTTTTTTCTGCATCATTTTTACATTTAACAGAGAAATCTTTTCCTAAACCCATAAAAAGAGAGAAAACGGAGCCACCTGTCTTGGTAAGCACAATCACTATTTTATGTTTACCATTGAAGTTCATTGAGTTTGCTTGTTAATCCATGGAGGAAGTAAACTCATAAAACTAAAATCCTCTCCATCTAAATCCAGCAAACAGAGTCAGTGTTAAAAGCTGAGGTGAAACCTCAAGTGGCCCAGCTCTCTGCTGCCCTACCAGTGACGGTGAAGGATGAGCCAATGGATGAGGAGTATGAGAAAGCGTCGGTGTCACTGCGGCCAGTGGGAAACATTAAAGATGAGCCTGACACAGCAGCTGTGAGTTTCACCACTGATTTCTGACTTTTATTTATTTTTTAATTAAGCTACCAATGCATTTGAGGATTGTATTTTTTTAAAAATACTTTGTGTTCACAGTGTCTTTTCAATATGTGTATGTTTGTAATTATACCAGTTCTCTGAAAAATCAGCACAGGAGTGTGGATATGTTTTACAGTGTCTAACATCAGAATGCTTGTATAGATGGTTTACCAAACTATACTATGTTTTAAACGCTATAAAATGTTACACTATATATGTAGGGTTGTCATGATTCTGTCTGACAACTGATTGTAATATGAATAATTGGGATTAACAATTTCATTGAAGTTAAATTAACGAGTTTAATTCACACACCTACTGTTTAAAAGTTTGAGGTTTGTAAGAGAGATATATATATATATATATATATATATATATATATATATTTATTTATTTAT